TATATATATATATATATATATATATATATATATATATAAGCGAGCGTATCGATTCGAAGTGATAATCATATTTATTCTCTTTTGACTCTGAGTATGTAGGATAATAACTGATAAAACTACTTCAATCGCTTCATGTCTATCGAATATCAACAAGAATGTCATTACTTTATGTAACTATTTCATTATCAGATCAAATGTTATGAGGTCTCCACGGTCACTGATGAACATTTAGATAGAGTTTGTTATCATACAAGAGATTTAGAAAGATCTCGTGAAATACAGATATGAATTCCCAATCGTCAAGTGTCTATGTTGTGCAAAGCTATTTACAAATGTGGCACTCTGCCAGACAAAGCAAAATGAATACCGCTGATATCATCTCTAAATCTTCTCTCACTAACGCTTAGTAAATATCACCACACACACATTTGCATTTATTAGTTGAATGAAGAGAAATGAACTTTGTTGTAATCACTCATATTACTTAATGCCACGTTTTAATTCCATATTTAATAGTTTATCTTAAACGTCAGCACTTTGAAAAATCTTTGGAAAGGTCAACTAAAATACTGACCCCAATATGATTTTGACACAACTGTCAGTTTATTTCATCATCAATTTTACTAGTGACTTCTGTTCATTTTAAGAAATCTTACAACTTTGCTTCCTCCCGCCTTCGGCTAGTCAGAAATTAGTGACCTTTATTTGTCATGGTCTGTTCTTTGATTTCTTGGCCTCTGTAGTGATACATGAGTCACTGAGCATCCCTTAAATCGGTAGTGTAGTTCAAATGCACTACAGCTTTTTATCCTTCTTGCAGGCAGGGTGTTGCAGAATTCGGGTTTCGCTACATAAATCACAGCATGGCAATCTTCTCTTCATTATACATTTAGTGACACTGTAACACTGGATGTCATACTTCATGTGTCAGGCTGTCGTTGGCGGCTGATCACTGATTTATATCCCTCTGGCCATGGGGCTACTGACTGTGATATTGAGTCAAAAGAGAAAATCTCATTTCGTCAAGAGGCTACCATTTCGTTGGTCAGACAGAAGGTGGTAAGCGTTTGCGGCTGAGGGCAGGGAAGTAAAGAATTTCCTGTTATATAAAGAACACAAATAAAATATTTTACGGGTCAGTTGTACAGGCCACGATATAGACATAAAAGACAATGAAAGGGAGAGCGAGAGAGAGAGAGAGAGAGAGAGAATGTGCAGAGAGACAATGAAATGTATAATCTACACACACATGAACACGCAAACATACGCATATAGAGATTTTGGTAATCTCTTTCAATGAAATACATACAAATGCATACTCAAGAAAAAGCAATAAACACTTGTGTGCTTATAGATACTGTATACAGCCATCTATGTGGGAGCGTGTATAGATATATGCATATTCCCAATCACACAGACACGTATATATATATATATATATATATATATATATATATATATATATATATATATTTTTATGGGTGGATAGAAAGATAGAGAGATAGAGTTTCAATGTTGTTCTATTAATGAAGAAGATTGTTGAGTATCTGAGTCAAAACCTTTGTAGAGATAGAAAGTTTGTGCATAAGAATCAATACAGCATGATGCCTTAATTCGTGGTATTTTCTAACATCTTATATATATATATATATATATATATATATATATATATATATATATATATATATATATATATATTGTACATAACGGTTTCTTCCCGTCTACAAGAGTGGCTACAAAATCAATTAAGCAGGCGCTTAATCAAACTGATTTTGCTTTGCCAACCATTGTTAGGTTTTCTGGGAGAGACTGAATACACTGGCGTGATCACTAGTTTAAAGAAGGCCTGTATGCTCAAACATTCTCTCACAATCATCCGAAGATCCAGTTCCCCTGACAAAGCAAGTTTTATGCATGTTGCTACAGGGAAGTACATTGGATTCGAAATCAAAAATTATATTCTTGACATATTGATCACGATTCAAACGTTCTCAGGAACGGAAAATGAACGTTCAAACTATTATATATATATATATATATATATATATATATATATATATATATATATATATATATATATATATATATATATATATATATATATATTGATAGATAGATAGATAGATAGATAGAGAGAGAGAGAGAGAGAGAGAGAGAGAGATAGAGAGATAGAGAAAAACAATGCAAAATAAGTACCTGATATTTTTATATATTTATATATAATTGAGAGAATTATTAAAAACTCATTTTACTTAAACGGTTTCGGTGATGAGTTTTTGAAAAGATTGTAAATATTAAACCAGTTACGTCCCTTGTTTTTGTTTAATTCCGTATATATAATATATATAATATAATATATATATATATATATATATATATATATATATATATATATATATATATATATATATATGTATATATAATTAAATATTAAACAAAGCGCAATGTAAGCAATTCCAAAGATAATATTCTACAAAGTCACACACCAGTGGAAAATAGCTCAATTAAATGCCATATTGAATATCAGAACCTTAATATTTCTCAATAAATACCTGGTGACCAATCATTGATTGATTATAATTTTGCCTTTTAATTGGGTGTATGGGTTGTGCCTATGTTTCTAGATTGATAGTGATGTTTTATTTTCCGAACACACTTATCAAATTGTGTCCGTTTTCGTAATTAATATTAGAGAGTGTTGGCTTTTTCTTTTTTTATTAATGTTTCCATTGATAAAGCCTACACTGATAAATATATATATATATATATATATATATATATATATATATATATATATATATATATATATATATATATATATATATATATATATATATATATATATATATATATATATATATATATATATATATATATATATATATATATATATATATATATATATATATATATATATGTTTAAAAGGTATTCTATATTATGAGAAAAAGTGATACTGACCGCTTACTAAGAAGTAAAGGACATCGGAACAATTGTCATGAAAATATGTGTAGAAAACACAGAGGGAAGCCACGTTACGGCTGTTGGAAAGTGACTGATATCGAGATTCCTGCTTAGTCAGGATTAATTACATTACAGACACTTCTTGGGATATTGCCAATGCATGGATGAATGGCAAGGCAGATTCAGACGGGATACATACATAGGTAAGTATTAAACTGTCTGTGAAACATAAGATATTCCTAAATTTGTTAGGAAGATAAACATTAAACTGCATATTAACAATGAACCTGAATGTAATTTGAAAAATAAAGTAGGCATCTTTGCAGATGACACTACTTTTTACACCTGCCTCAATAGCAAATCCAGCATCGCTGACAAAACCCAATCTGGCCGTTGGTCTCGAATACCATATATGGCCTTGCATGGAATACTGCTGTCATATATGACCTGAAGACCCCGATCTTCGTCTTAAGGTCCTCGACGAAATCCAGAGACAGATATGCAATGTGATTGGCCCTGATCTGGCATCTCGTTTACAGTCGCACTCTCACAGACGTGCCGTCGCTTCCCTCTGTCTTTTCTATAAATACTTCCCCGGTAACTGTTTTCCGAAACTGCATGAATTTAAACGTGTTACTAGGTTGTCATCTCAGTCCTACCCTTTCAGTGTCGAAACCTTTAAATGTAGCCGTTTCTTCTACTCTAATAGCTTAATGTCTCGCACTACCTGTCTGTGGTACTCCCTTCCTCTTACATGCTTCCCTGATAGCTATAATCTCCAAATATTTAAATGCATCTCAATCAACATTTCTAGATGCCTTGATCTATTCCCCGTCCTTCTCTTAACCCCTGACTGCAGAGTGTGCTGAAGAATGCTTACTGGGAAAAAAAAAGAGTGCTCAGCGCCATAATAAATGGCAGAGCTTTAATATATTTTGAGGCAAATTTCAAGTTGGCAGTGATCAACAATGACTACAAGATCCATAAGCTTTTGCGCACTTATCAAGCACAGGAGATGAAAAACCAATACCATAGCTAGAGGGAAAGGAAGAGGATTCACACCTTTCCAAAGTGTATTGCCGGAAGGTAGCACAAAGTGCCGTCCATCCGCCTTAGGGGCTCCATTCCGGGTTTGAATTCAGAGTTTTCCTTCTCCTAGACCAGTTGCCATACACGGCTATAGAACCCAGTCTGTCCTGCTATTCACCCGTAGCTAGAGGGAGAAGAAGAGAATTCACACCTTTCCCAAGGGTATTAGCATGTAAGAGAATGTAATGGATTCGACTGGAATTCGAAATCGGCTCTCCAATTCCTCAATCCAAGCCGCTATTCATTACACCACCGTGCCTCCTCATTACCACCTTGAAAATATACGAGTGTCTGCTGAATATTCATGGGGCAGATTCATTGCAGAAAATCAGCCCGAATATATATATATATATATATATATATATATATATATATATATATATATATATATATATATATATTTGGAAAGGTTTACTTGTCATGAGAATTTCCAATACATACTTGCATATATATATATATATATATATATATATATAGATAGATAGATAGATATATAGATAGATATAGATCTATCACAAAAGACAAACACACACGCATATGTGCGTGTCTGTGTGTGTGCTCATATATGCGTGTGAGCATTTGTGTGTACGCGCTAGGCCTATTGCAAACTCAATTTCAGAATATGCTCCAAAATCTTCAATCATATCAAATTGTGTCACTCAACGGCTGTTGATCGACGTCAATATATTCCAGAAGTTGATCTGTAAAAATAGGAAAATAAAAAATAGATATCTTATATTTTGCCATGTCCGGCATTCAGAGTGGGTGGTCCGCTCGGGAAAACTTCATTCAGTAGATTTTTTTTCTGCTCGTTCTCATCAAGAAACGCTATGTTTGATCTTTCATGAAAAAAAAAACGTGAAAAGAAAGAATAGGGGATATTGCCAATGGGTGGGTAGGCTTACAACCCTACGAGAACAGTATTAATCCTGGCTGATATAAGTAAACAATGGATATGAAAGGCGACTTACTGGTGCAAGATAGATTTACTCCTTCTGCTTTTATTTTTTTTTCTTTCTTTGTTTTTCTTCCTTCGTGTATTTCTTGTTGCTATTATTTTGTCCATCTTTATTTTCTTTCTTTTCTTCTCTTTTTATTCTTCTCTCATTTCTTTTATTCGTTCAATTATTTCTTCTGTCCATATTTTCTTGCTTTCTTTCATTTAATATTTTTTCCTATGCAATTTGTTTCTTTTGTCTTCTGATTGTTTTTTTTTCTTTCTTTTATTCACTCCTTCCTTCTTTCTTTATATGATTTCTTTCTTTCATTTAGTTTCGAATCTTTTTTCTTTTTCTATGTATTTTCCATTCTCCCTCCTTCATTCAGACTATTGCGACTATTTCATTCTTTTTTCCTTTCTTCTCCCTTCATTCCAACTATTCTTTCTTTCTTTCTTTCTTTCTTTCTTTCTTTCTTTCTTTCTTTCTTAGCCCCGGCCCTTTTCCTATGTATTTTCCTTTCTTGTTTCTTTCTTCTTAGTTCTACCTATTTTCTAT